GCAGTCTTGCTTTACATATTTCATTTACTCTGAGTATCATCTTGTTATTTCTTCTCATCCTCTCAATAGAAAAAGATGAACCAACGCAAACTGACAGTCGTGTAGTTTGAGGATAGTAAATGACAAAATCTCTCAAAGAAAGCAGAAAGAGATGTGGAAGAGACAGTTATTTGTGCTCTTAAATGATAAAAAAATACGGATACAACTTCAAACTGCATTTCGAACCGACTACAAAATGGCTGAAAGGTGAATTTTTGCAGTGCAATTCTGACTTAAAATAGCCTAAACTAAGTCTAACAGTGAAGTTTTTGTTCTTATTGATATATTTCAGTCTGGAATAGTCAGATGCCAAAAAAACAAAACAAATGGCCTCACTACTCTAAACCTCTGGTCTTTTTCTCTTTCTCTGTCCTGTTTTCAAAGAGTAAGATGATGTAATAGAAATACATTCAAGCTGAGCACTCAGCAATAAACTATCCATCCATTGTCAACGCTATTTATGTCTAGTGGGGTCATGGGGGAGGGGGCCTATCCCTCCTTTGCACCTATAAACCACCACAATGAAATCAATTAAATGACTGAAGATAAAGTGAGGAGCCCTGTTTATCCCGTTTCTCTGCGATGATCTGCCAGAAAAAAAGCAGCAAACTGAGGTTAGCACGGGTGTTATTTTGACACCTACCTAAGCATTTTGCAGACCACCCACCTTCGGAGTAGAGATCTTCACAAAGGACAGCTAAAAGACGACTTAATGAGCATTTGAAAAAGGCTGTTTATCTACCCCTATACTCCCCTGATACTGTACGATTCTGATTTGATCAGAGGGAAACGCAAAATGCTGCATATTCAGATAACAAAATTAAGTCTGACATTTTATTCTGCCTTCTGAAAAGAATGCTCCTTAAACACACTGAAGTGTGTTTAAGCTCCACGGACCATATATTTTCATACAGAAAATAATATTTGCTGAACTTGCAAATTTGTCAGTTGCCTCTTAACAAACTCCAGTGGAAGACTATAAAAAAATCCGCTGTCTGAATGATACTTTTGCTCTGTATGTGTCTTATCACAAGAGCGTTTGTGGACATTTAGGAGACAGTGAAACTGTCCTAGTTCCAGTCATGTGTGATTGTTAATATGCGTTACTGTCCGTCAAGAGGGTCCTAACGTCCAGAGAAATAGTCATAGAACAAAAACTGAACAATAGGAGATGAGGATATTTTTACTTATTTGCTTGTGAGATGCATGATATTCAGCAAATAAAAGTAGTTTAAGATCATTTGGAAACAAATGGCTACAAATGCATTAGATGAAGAAGAAAAAGAAGGTAAAAGCCTAAATGTGACGTAGCTCTGCAGGACGTGTAAAGGTAAAAACAGAGCATGCTTGCACAAAAACATTGAGTGAGGAATACGATTCGTGCGATTTTCCACAAAAAAAAAAAGTGCAAAAGTGCATCCTCAGACCGAGGACGGACAACTACGTTCTGTACTGAGGGCCTGATGTACAGAAGTAATGTCTAAGGCAAGTAAAGAGAGATCTTATTTCCAACCATGAGACAGTAGAAGATGCCTTAAGAAGTGTGTGTGCTGTCAAAGGACGTTCAAGAAGAGGTTCTAGGTTCTGCAAGCAAATTCTGCTTGCGTTTTCAGGTTTCTGCACTTTATGAGCATGGATAGGTGCGAAAAAAAGGTAAATCTTTTTCACTCCAGCCCACCATTTATGTGTGCTGGAGTTAACTACTTTAGACTGTTTTAAGTTTAAAAAAAGGGGGTGAGTAACGGTGATGAGATGCAGAACTCATATCACTGTTTTCCCACATTATTAACATATTTGATCTATTGTTTCTATCTTCTTTTGGAAAACCTGTTCGTTATATTTGTAAAGGCCCATCATCTGGAATGAGAAGGTCTTTTCTGTTTCAGCAGACCAGAGAATGTTCTCGAAACCGATCCAGGGGTCATTCTGTGGGTTTCTGAGTATGCGTAATTTTGGATGCAAATCAAGAATGACAGCGTATGAAGTGGTTATGTAAGATGTTGCACCTTTTTGTTCTTTTTTGGAGGGTTTTTGTCACTTTTCTGTGATTTCTGCAATAGCTGCACTTTAGCCGAAACCTCGTATCGGAGCAATGATGGTCTTGAAGCCACTTCATTCAGCCAATGGATCCAAACAGGACGGATGATGGCTGGCCAGCACTCTGCCACTAGTTTTGAGCATTTTTCCCTTTTCCACTTGGGTATGCCCTTGATTTCCCTCGTTGCGCATGATGTAATGTGTAATTTGACTCATTTTTTTTAACAATAGTGACATTAGTGTTAAAACCAAGAAAAGTAATAGAATGTTTTATGGGAAAAGCATTAGATATATAGACCTACAACATATTTGAACACAGTTCTACGTACATTTGTACAGTCACATAACAACTGAATCATGAACTTTAGTTAGGGAATCCTAGGTTTGATGTCATCATTTTTCCAGGTTCAATGATTTCAAGCAGTTTTTATTAATGAAGCATAACCAGGTCAAGTTCCTGAGTCTTGTGAGTGAACTAAGAAAGTCCTCGCTAAGCTTTGGAGGACTCCAATTCGATTATCATTCACATATATAGATATTCAAAATATATTGGGGGGGCTAGCACAACAAGAAAAATCCATGAAGATGGCTCTGAAGGAGAGGAATATTTATGATATCCTGCAAGAAAATGTTGCATTCGTGCTGGAAAATGGTAAATGGACTGCTTGTACAGTGCTTTTCTATTCAGCCACTCTTGCTTTCATGCCACATTTCCTCGAACAGCACGTCTTGTACCATATGGAAATATTTACAAGCTTCACAGTGCCTTTATTTCATCACAAATTCAAACATTAATGGATGCATTGGCAATGTGTGCTGCAGCATGTTGCCGAATATGTTTTTGACACAGGGAAAGTCTGGAGTCTGGCCATGAGAGCTTCCAATTGCTTGAAGCCTGTCACTGTGACTGCCATTTGTGTCATATTTCCAGCTCAAGCTTGTAGACAAGTGCTAAATAAGGGGATCCAATGTTATCTCATTTCTTCTCCTTTCCTGCCTTAGTCATCCAAGCTTGTCAGTGCATATCCGCAATTCCTAAATATCTACTCCTTTGAAATTCTAGATGTGTGATTTCTTCCAATTCTAAATGATAAATGAACATAAATGAATTTAAGTTGACTGAGTTTATCCTCAGTTTGTTGCCTTTAAAGATAAACCACATTCATACAATCACTCAGCTTCCTATGTCAGTTTTCAGTAGGTATCGTCTAAAATAAAATCCCGTTGAACAAAGTTTGACATGTTCTGCAGCTACCCTATGCACAATTGTTGCATGTCTTTTTCATCTCTCCATTGCTTTATAAAGACCACTAAACTCCCTAAAAAAACTATATGAACAGTTGTAGCTGTGGACATAACTAAGCGGAAGGCCCCTAAGACTGGAGGTAGCTATTTCAGAGAAAGCTTTCTCAGTATAAATGATCAAATATCACTTGGTCTGCTACCGAAGGGTGCAGTGCTCTACAATACGTTGCATACTTGTGGCGGTGACCCTAAAAAGTCATTCATTCGGGGACTGAATTTGCCTTTAACACTAAAAGCCCATTGTCTCTCTTCCAGATAGTTACACTCTCACTGTCCACGCGGCTTCTTCCCCTGCAGTTCATTTCCCTCCTCCATGCCTCTCTCCACAAGGAGGGACATGAAAGGAATTTAGCTCAACTTGATCTCCTAGCCCTCCAGAATCAGCACAGTGCGCCAGCGGCCACCAATCCCTGTTTCTCTCTTGTGCGTGCTTGAACTTCCCTCTTCAGCCTTTAAAACCGTGGTTGATTCTTCAAAGAGATGTGGCCAGGAGTTACCGCAAACCAACAACCAGAAGAAGCGATCATAATCCTCGCCATAGCGAGACCAACGGGATTTACGACAAAGACAAAGCGGACACATGACCGTCTCCAGCCCATTTTGTGTCGAGGGATTAACCATTTCAGAGGAACATGGTTGGTACAGAATGCAGTAGTTTGAACTTTTAACGCCACACAGATAGCATAAGACTGCTGAACAGCTTAACATGTACCATGTTGTCTTGATTGTTGTAAGTTCCTGGGATCTTCCTTAAATTGTAAGTTTAATTTAAGGTTATTTAAGTTATGATTTGTCATGCAAACTGGCCATCTTCTTTGAGTATTGACCTTTTTTAACACATTCTGTTTTCAATAAAAACTTTGAAAGATCTGTCTGACACCATGATGAGGTTCTTTACCATCATTGAGCCAAAGTTCTGGGTTAATAGTTGAGTTGCCACTTTTGTATACTGCCACAAAATACAGCCAGTGGTCAATTACCCTTGTTAGGTTTTATGTTCATTAAAAAAAACACCATGTTGTTCAAGAATGCATTCCGGGAAGCAAGAAAATACATCAATTTCACTTCAAATTTGCAGGAGAACAAGCCCTGACACATTAGTAACTTTGTCTTTTTCCTTATAGGGTATCAGATTTGTTTGATTTTGTATTGTTGGGTGTATTAAATGGCCATGTTTTGCTCAAACGTAAAGTGAAACCAGTGAGCACTTCACTGTATCAGTCCATGTTTCCATTTTCTGTCACCAAATTTTACAGTGTTTAGTGTTTCACCAATGCAGTGACTGTTTATATTTATGTAACCACAATTAAACCAGCAGTTTAATTAGACACACTTTAAAGGAAGCGAGGCAGGTAAGATTAACTGTTCACATTTTTTTTTTTTTTTTTTTTTTTTCCTTATTAGTAACCGCTTGTAGAATAATCAGTTGCTTCTTCACCTTAGGAATGTCGTACCTTCAGAGGGAATCTTTTACTAATTTCTGTAATCTACATTTCTTCTGATACTTCTTCAGTCAGTTTTACTTACCTTTGGGGAATGTTTCCTGTCTCCTTCCCTTGTTTTCTGCTCTTCAGATGGTTTCCCCTCCCATCCCACTTTTTATCTTTTTTTTTCTCATCTCATCTGGTGCCAATATTTTTGTACTGGCAAAGCAACAGATTTTTAAAGGTCTTTTTGAACGTGGCATTACACAGTGCGTAACAAGCTGGGTTGATGGTAGAGTTGACATAGCAGAGCCAGTATCCAATCGCCCAAACTGTGTCAGGGACACACGACTGGCAGAAGGTTGATATCAGCACCATGACGTTGTATGGAGTCCACGTGATGATGAAAGCCAGGAGAATGGCAAAGATGGTCTTGGTTACCTCCACAGAGGGGAAAGACAGAAGAAAACATACAATTTTTTTCCAATAAATAAAGGTTGAGAGGCAAAATTACTTTAAATATTCTTGAATCTATGAATAGTCCAATTAAAGTCAATCACGTGTTACTCTGGTGTTGGGATAACATTAGGATTGATAAAGGGACAAAATCTGAATTTTGTGAGGATATATTATGCCTACTTGCCATGCATCTAAGTAGAATTAACAAAACAGATTAAGTCTACAGATAAGAAGACAAAGACAGCTGCTTAATAAAAAACATTAACCCATTAGAATTCCTACAGATTTTAGATACACATCTGAGCTGGTTATCAACTTTTGAGATTCTATCAGTGGTGCCTTGAATGTTATATGGTAACTGACCATTAACAACTGTCCTTGGACACTTGCGAATATCCAATGGTTGTTTACCAGTTGGTCAACAATAGCACCTTTTTGTTTATTCTTTTATAATATTACAATCATTAATACATTTTTGACTGAGCATGGTCTTGCTCTGCCCTGATTTCTATATTTTTGCAATCAAACACTCAATTATGCTTTTTAATTATTTTTCAAAGCTGATGACTGCTGGTATGATTCCACACAGGAATTGGTTTGGTGGCATTCACAGAATGTATTTTGGGCAACAACCAGACACTGACTCAAAATTAGCTAACTCAAAGTGACCCTATACTACACTGCCTTATAATAATTGGCATGCCCTCTGTTATTCCCTACATACCTTCACGTAAATTACTGTGTAATTCAAACTGTCAAATGAAAAAAAAAAATTCATCTAAATCCCGCTCTTATTAAATCCAAAAGACATATCTCCCTATCTTTTTCGTAACCACCACATAGTCTTGTAATTTCATGCATACTCATGCATCATCACACAGCATATTATATATTAATTCATCAGGATGCATATTGAATGTATTAACATACTTTTTTTTCTCTGGCAGCCATCTGCCTTTTCCTCTTGACTTGACTTCTGGCAATGCTCGCAAACTTTCTGGCCACAGTCCTTGGACGGCTGATGGGAATCGAATGCCTCTCTGCTCCTTCTATGGGTGGAACGATCTCTATAGCTGTTATGCATTCATCTCCAGCTTGCTTCGTGACAATCTTTATCTTGGACCACTTTGAGTTGTTCATCTTGGGAACCTCAGAATTGGTTGCTGATGTGGCTACTGGATTTGGAATTGTTGATGTCTGTAATAAAACCAAAATGTGGTGTTATGAACTTTTCATGCCAGTTTGACATATTGTTTGTGTGCATGACTTAAATTCGTGAACTTCCCCTTTAATTAGTGCCATACATTTCCCCCGCTTGTTCTGTCCACCATCGTAGCAAGCAGAATTATCCTCTGGATGTTTATGTCAAACACATTTTCTTTGCTAACAAATTCAAAAGCCTAACCCCTGCCTATTTCTTTATTGCTGCATTTTGTGCACACTGAGTGTGATGCCAAAACATCACCAAGGTATAGGGAAAGTAAACAGTGCCATGAAAAAGTGCCATTACTGCCAAGTGACTTAACCTATACTCCTCAATTTAGCATATAGAGTTAAATTTCCTATGATTTCCTAAGCAAAATCTTTTAAATATTATTCTAATTTAAATACTATTGATACAAATTGTGATGGAACGAATTATAAAGGAAACAAACTAATTATAAAGGAAAAATGTCATTCTTCAATGGATAAAAAGGCAAAATTTTGATGGATAACTTAAATTTCTAAAATCAAATTAAAATCTTTCACATGAAAAAACTATTAAACTAATCCTGACACACCTCGTTCAACTTAATGGGTTCACCAGCATTCATAGTCCACAAAAAGGTGTCCAAACAAGGATTTGAACCTGGAAACTTTCCTGTTGTGAGGTAACAATGTTAACCATCCATCCATCCATCCATTATCAATACCGCTTATTCCCTGTTGGGGTCACGGGGGGAACTGGAGCCTATCCCAGCGGTCAACGGGCGAGAGGCAGGGTACACCCTGGACAGTCCGCCAGTCCATCGCAGGGCCACACACAGGACACACAAGGACAAACAACCACTCACACTCACATTCACTCCTAAGGGAAATTTCCCCAATCTCCAATCAACCTAACATGCAAGTTTTTGGACTGTGGGAGGAAGCTGGAGAACCCGGAGAGAACCCACACAGACACAGGGAGAACATGCAAACTCCACCCAGAAAGGTCCTGGTTCCCCCGGGATTCGAACCCAGAACCCTCTTCCTGGGAGGCGACAGTGCTAACCACCACACCACCGTGCCGCCCCACAATGTTAACCAACCACAGTTAATTTTTTATTTTCCAGGGTCATGTGTTAATTTAGTTTCCAGTGTATTCTTAGTCTTAGTCCTCCAGAGTCCCAAGTATTTGTTGTCAGTCTCACAGAGATCAGATGGTACAACAATGTACTAAAAGCCGCCAAATTATTTTTTGGTGGCCTCAAATGAGTGAGGGATTGTGTGTACTTGTGCTTCATTTAACTCTCAACCGATCTGTAGCATATTTTCTGTTTACGCCTCTATGGTTTTGTAGTTGTGCAGATACACACTGTACGGATGTCGACGCAACATGAGCCTTTTTCAAGCTATTCTTGGTGTGTGTTGTTACAGTACTGAAATGTTGGCCTCCTTTTCTACCTTGTGTGTTCTGTGATGGTAATAGTAAATGGACTGTAAGTGCTTTTCTGTTCTAGTTGAACTCGCAAAGCACTTTTACAATACAAGCCACATTCACCTACTCACTCATACTCTCCACACAGTGTGTCTCAGTCAAGGCTACATAATGCCCATATCCTCCTTCACACACATTCATACTATGATGAACACACTGGTAGCGTTTTTTCTTCCCCAAAAGTGCTTCAACTTCTGGCCCAGGACTTAAACCACCAAGCTTTCTACAGGTAGACAACTCTAGAATAGGGATGGGCACAAGTAACCCATAATACATACATTTCATGGAGGCCTATTGTATTTCTTGGAGAGTAGTTCAGATTTAGGGAGGTTCTTTTTAAATATAATGTATGTAT